TCAATTTGCAATAGCCAATAGCAGACTAGCTGTTGCACCCGCCCACTGCTGCTGTCAATCAGCAGAGGTGGACCTGAATTTCAGGTTGGGATCCCTGTAAGCATGCTCAAGGGTTTTGTTATAGCTAACCCCTATTTCTAATGCCATTCTCTACAATGATTGGCTTGTCCCATAACCACAAAAAGAAATGATGTAACTCTAGCACAGTACTTTGTCACAGTAAAGCCTGGTGGATGAACAACATAGGTGACCCATAAGCAAACCCTGCTGGTGAAAAATAATGCAGCACCAAATAACCGAAAACTACACTGCTCTAATACAGGAGATGATGGGGGGTAGACCCCTACATACCCACAATGTAATAATAAGGCAGATACTATTGAAGCAACAATTTATAAATCCATACCTGACTTGCATTTCAGAGTAACTGATATCTTTGTTCCTTTCTGCAGACCAGTTCTCCGTAGAGCAGCCGGATGTTGTCCCTGCTGTGATGGGAGAAGATATCTCTATACCGTGTGCTGTTCACAATAAATCTCCGGATGATATAGAGGAGATTATCTGGGGGAAAGGAGAAAGTGATGTGTGTTTAGAAAATCCTGAATTGTTAAGATGGAATATACAAAAGATGACGGAAAGGATTGGGCGATGGACGTTCCAGAAATCCGAGAACATCTTCTCATTACACATAAAGAGTGTTATAGATTCTGACAGTCGGCAATATTGCTGTGAGGTGATTACAAAGCTGGGAACAGAGAAACAATCATCGGCACACGGCACCCAGGTAGTGATAGCAGGTAAGGACATTTCAGCTTTGAACATTGAAATCCTCACAGGTTGTAGAAATCCAAAAGACCTTTCTGGTTGCTTTAAAGGAGAACTATGGGCTTTTCCCCATAGTTCTCCGAAGGGTAACGGGAGGACACAAACTAGCGTCCTCCCGTGACTGTAAGCTCAGTGTACAAGGTGGAAACCTCGACTCAACAACAATGTAACATTGTATATTAATATATTGTTTATCAGTCTCCTCCTAGTTATGAAATTGACCAATATGCTCCAAACTAAATGAGCCAAAACTAACCTGATATATCCATTAAACTGCTAATCTTCTCCTCTCCTCCCCTGCCTGACTTCAGTTATTTCCAGCCTACAAAAGGAAGATATACACAAGGGTTGCCAAGAAATTGTTATTTTTGATCAGACCTTGAGATTAAAGGAGAACTATGGGGTTAGGGCTTTTCCCCATAGTTCTGCTTAGGCTAACGGGAGGACACAAACTAGCGCCCTCCTGTGACCCAAAGCTCAGTATACCGCGAGCTACAGCTTCCGTCAGTCAGCGCTGGCGGATCGGAGCGGGGAGGGTGGAATCCAGCCCCTCCCCCTGTCACGGCTTTCTGCAGTGACAGGATCGAGAAGTGAGCGAGCGACGGTTATGTATTCGCTCACCTCCCGATCTACTGAGCCGACCTGTGACAGTTTTATTGTCACAGGTCGGCTCAGATTATGAGGCTGAGTGAAAAGCACTCACCTTATAGGTGAGTGCTTTAACCCTTTCTCTGCCAGGCCCTGAGCTCCACTTCTGACCATTGTTTACTATTTTATATATTTTTTAAAATCATTTTAACTTTAAAATATTTCCTGAAAGCAGAGGCCCGCATACTAAAACAATGGTGTTATTGATTATGTAGGTCCCATAACAGTTGCATTTATCAACTCAATATTTTTGATTAAAAAAATCACTAAAATCATTAGTAGCGAACACAACTATAACATCATTTAGGAAATTACTCTTAAATGAGTTAATAAATAACACATATTTGTAAATTGTAAATTGCACCTTTTTGCAAAACTGTGGAAATCCAATGAATGAAAATTTGTAGATAAGCAAAATACGCAAAAATAATGCGTTGTGGTAACGCCCGATCCACAGTGTCGTGATATGGTTGTGTTAGTGTGCATTGCGATAAAATGATACAAGCATACATTTTATTACAACGCAGCATGTTACAACACGTGACTGCACATACTGGTCATTGGATGTCATTTAAAAGAAAGTTTACAGAAATTAAGTACTGTGATGCAATGTAACAATGTACTGCATCAGCAACGCACACCAGCCACCATGCCACCTAAACAGACACATCCTGCAATTCAGTACACTGCACTTCATAGGCGTGCGCACGGGGTGTGCCAGGTTTGCCTGGGAATACTCTAATCATCCCCCAGCACAACACCAAAGCCGCAACAACGGCCACTGTGTTTTTAGTCACTGAGCCGGTGGAGAGATCACTCAGCGATACAGAGCGTAGCAACACTTGCCACTTACATTCCTCACATAACAGCCGCAGTCCTTGGGGCCTGGGAAGCTGCGAGGGAGTGTGGATGTGGCTTCCCAGGCTTCTCATCCAATCAGGAAGCAGGGAGGGTGGTTACATGACCACCTGCCAGACCCCTTGCTTCATTACTGCACCCCTGCTGGAAGAGGTAAGGGACAGTTGAAGAAATGGGAATCTGGGATGTAATATACACTGAGTGGCCAGATTATTATGACCACCCCATCTTCGTTGGGCCACGAGATGACTTCGTTGGGCCGCCTCGTGACTCCACGAGATGTTGAAAGGTGATGCGAGGAAGCTGACACTGCACTGTTGCCCTTCTGTTGTCTTGTACCAGTCTTGCCGCTCTCCGTTCTGCCCTAACATTGACTAGTCGCTGACGGCCACAATTCGCACGTTCAGACCCAGATTTTCGGCTGACAGTCCAGTCTTTAAACACTTTAACAACAGCTGCTCTAGAACATTTAACGAATTCTGCTGTTTTGCTGATACTCGCTCCATGGCTCCGAGCGCCAACAATCATCCCACGTTCAAAGGCTGTTACATCGCGTTGTTTCCCCGAATCTACAGAAACAAATCACTTCTACTGTCGTGGTAACCAACCTGCTCCCCTATTTATAATGGTCTGGCCCTCTAGCAACTACAGCGCCAAATTATAGCTCATTTGCCTACAAACGTCAGGTGGTCATAATAATCTGGCCACTCAGTGTATGATCAACTACTATAGTGAGTACTTTTAAACATTTTTCATCATTTATTTAAAACATTTTCCACGTGGAGAAGGTGCTGTCCATTTGTGTTGTTTATCATGTGTTGGAAGATTTCCCTGTTGGAAGTGGTCAGCTGCCTTCCTCTAAGAAGACGGTTATGATGAAGAATGAATTGATCCCCCACTAATGCCATGTTCTGTCTCCACCACCATTTCATGTATCTGAACAGACCTCCTGAGACTCGTCTGTACAGATAGTATGACAACTTACTGAACTGATAATATCCACAGGCCAACTCACCAAAAAGACTCAGAGTAGAATCCAATGTATTTTATTCAGGCTTGACAATACAGAGGATGTAATTCCTAGTCATTCTTAGAGGTGGAAAGACATTTCTATCTGGAAGCCTTGTAACACAATGTATAGAACCCTCTTACCTCAGTGAGGGAGAAGACGAAAAGAAATTAGAGAAGAGAGGCTGGAAGTGTCTATTTGAAGACTATACCAATTTACACAAAACAGTAGGGGTGAAATGGAAGATTCCAAAGATTCCAATGTATATAGCAATTAAAGGAGAACTATGGGGTTAGGGCTTTTCCCCATAGTTCTCCTAAGGGGCTACGGGAGGACACAAACTAGCGTCCTCCCGTCACTCTAAGCTCAGTATATAGAGAGCTACAGCTCGCGGTATACTGAGACGCCGCAGCTGAAACAGATCCCGACAATTATGACGGGATCCGCCCAGCTGCGTGAGTGAGAGCTGGCTCTGCCTATCTAGAGGCAGAGCCAGCTGTACCCGCCCCTCCCCCATCCTTTCCGCCAATCAGCGCTGGAGGATCGGAGCGGGGAGGGGATAATCCAGCCCCTCCCCTGTCACGGCAGAGAGCCGTGACAGGATCGAGAGGTGAGCGAACGCCAATATGTGTTCGCTCACTTCCCGATCTACTGAGCCGACCTGTGACAGTCTCATTGTCACAGGTCGGCTAGAACTATGAGGATGAGTGAAAAGCACTCACCTCATAGTTCTCCTTTAAGCTGTATTAATGCTACCATTAGTTTGCAGGAACATACCATAACGTGATGATATACAATGCAATACATAATAGTGTGATAGAAATAACAGAAAATAACAGCACATGCATATACAGGTTTTCCGCATTGGCCAATGAGGAAAGGGCACCAGCATGTGCTGATCTAAGGTAAGGGTCTGTTTCCTGGACATCTTACATCGATGTCCATGTAGGAACCCCATTGGTTCAGTTAAAAGGGAATGGGAAAAAATCTCTGAGAACTGTTTGTCAGATATGATGAAGGGGTTGTGGCCCCAAAAAATGATAAATTGCTGTACTTTTGGCAGTACCTTTCTAGTGTGGTAAAAACTGCCTATCATTTGAGAGGTTTGGACCTTTAATGGTGGTCTAGTGTGGTAGGTATTTCAGGGTCTCTGTCAGGTCCCTTTAACACTGAGGAAACAGTTTTTTGGATTTATGTATTGTATCCTGGATCCACTCAGCCCCTCTGGCTGAGAACCCTGGGTGACTTTGAGGCCACCTAACACCGTGGTATTGCCTCACAATGCCACAGTATATATATCTGGGGAAGGAGGTTTTTGGATTTACTCGACACAATATACATAACACTATGGCAGTTTTACCAGTTTTGTATGGTATGACCAATGGATTGAAAGCTCCATTAAATCATGTTGTGTGCATAATCACCATCTGCTCACCTAATATTTTCTTTAAATACAGCATACATTCTCTTTTCAGATCCTCCTCAGAATGATCCAGAGTTCACAGTCACTCAGTCTGGGATACTATTGGCTAATAAAGGACACTCTGTCACCATCACATGCTCATACACCATCCCACCAGACCAGAACTTTCTGTGGAGAGGAGTCTTCTGGAGAGTGGGCAGCCCAGCAGGACCCTATGCCTACCACCCCTCTAATCTGATGGTTGGTTCCAGTTACCGTGGAAGAACTCAGCTGAGCCGACAGGCCGACCTCCAGATAAACGGAGTCCAAGATACAGATCACACCACCTATTACTGCTTTGTGATGCTGAAATTCTGCACTGGGACACACAAGTCCAAGTCAATGCTCAGATATGGGGCTGGAACACAATTAAATGTGAATGAAAACGTAAATGAGATACCTACAGGTAATAGAATTGTTGTCCATTTCCTTTCAGTCACTTATAGAAGAAATAATTTTTTATTAAAGCAGAACACCAGACATAAATAACATGATAAAAACGAACAACCCATAAAAGATTAAATAAGAAAATCAACTTTTGCTGCAATTTTCACCTTCATTTCAGAGATTTCTCCTTCAGTTTCTGCCATTAGAGGTCATTTAACTACGGCCCAGGTCATCCTGGACCTGCCCCCACCCTGTGAGTGGACAGTGAGGGGAGAAGCAGCACAGTGATGAGCTCATCTCTCTGCTCTCCCTTCCTATCGGCATGCATCTTATCAGCAAATGAACTGATGGGGGTACTCCAAGTTCAACTTTTTACTGCTCAACTCTGAACAGGTAGCTAAATCTTTACATAAAAGCCCAACATAAACATTAGACAGCTGTGAAATTCTAGACACGGGTGAGGGTTTGCCCTTTAAATTTGCTCATAGAGAATTATAATATGATAGTAAGACTATTGAGTTAATGTTTATAAGGGTCTCATGTTGCTGAACAGCCAGCGTTCCCCAAACATTTTTCAGTCAAGCCCCCCTTTAAAAGTATGCAAAGTCTCAAGGCACCCTAGTTTAAAATGTAAAATACATAAATGTAAAAGCGATGTGTGATCTATAGCAGATCCTTATCCTACATAGTAGTGACCCCATGCAAAAAAAACATGGAGTCCCCCTAATTGTGATATACCATATAGCATAAAAGTTTGTTTCGTTTGACGAAACTAATGAAAACATATTTAGTTTCCGTTCATTTCGTCTAAAACAACTTTTTCATCTTTCCACATGTCTAGTTTTGTGCGTGTGTGTAGGGGGGTCTTTTTTGTTTTCTTTTTATTTATTTTTTATTCTTATTTTTTTCCACTGTTGGGGGGGCTTTGGGGAAATATCATGGGTCTAAACAGACCCCTGACATTTCCCTTTTGAAATAGAAAAAGAGATTGAGGACAGAGTCCTCTGCCCATACAGGTGAGGGAGAGCAGCAGGGATCCGAGGAGAAGCTTGAGCCTGTACCTCTCCTCTTCTCCCTGCTGAGCCGCGGCTGTGTTGGCCGCCTGACGCCCTTGTTGCCAATGGCACCCTGTGCTCGCCATGGCAACAGGGGCGAGGGGGCGTAGCCAGGCCGGCCCTGGCTGTGCCCCCTCTCAGCTGTGCCTGAGGCCAGTGCCTCACTCGTCCCATGGTAGCTACAGCCCTGCCTTCTATCACATCAGAGTTCCCCCTTCCCCAGTCCTCAGTGCACCCTTCATATCAGGGTACTATCTTCCATGGATGTAGCAGGTCTGGGTGGAGATGGACTTCTGTCCTCTTCTGAATGCTGGAGGCTAATGCACTCCGCCCTGGATAAGCGCCATGAGTTTTCACGGTGCTGGTGCCTGGTTTGCCTGCACCATGGAAATGTATGACAGGGTGCTAAAATTTTAAAGCACTCCCGACCAAGTCAGAATTTGAGTTATTTAACTTTATTTTATTTCCAAGCATTCACCTTCTGATAGCTTTTCAACCTTTTCTGCTACTTCAAACGCTCAATTCTGACTATTGTTTCTAAAGAAAAAAATCATGTATCGCAGCATAGACTACCTAAAAAATATTTTTTGGGGGAATTTAAAAGGAATTTAAAAGGAATGAGATTAGGGTGCTGCTGCATTATACAGGCCAGATAATTCATTACACATACAAATGATGTGATACCAGTATATAGTGTCACTGGCAGTGTTCCCAAGCATTGTAACATTCTATTACACTACATATCTTTGTAGCATTTCATTTGAAGAATTGGTGCTTTTCCCATGTTGCCCTCAAAGTTGAAAAAAGGACCGAACATTTTGAAAAAAGCCTGTTTTCCCAACGTTATGTTATAAAACATTTAATATTACCCAATTTTTTGCTAAAATAGCAGTAGCAGTAGATATAGGCCAAAAAAACCCAGAGGGTTTAGAAACCCTTTAAGAACAAACCTACTATACCTATCTTGTTTGTAACCCGGGGACTTCCTGTACAGGAGTTGCATCAATTTTTTAGAGGAAGCTGTAGTTATTGACAGTATATGTTTTTATTCTAATTGTTCCTTTTTCTTTTTTTTTTTGCAGACCCACCTGAGATGTCCCACCAGAGTAAAGCTGCTTTAGTACTAGGAGCATATTTTGCTATAAAAATCTTTATTACTGTCATCCTCATCCTAGTGGCTCTGGGCTGTGTATATGGAAGAGATAAATTCACCAAGACAGCCCCCCAAAGTGGATGACCGGCACTTATAACACAACACATCCCTTCTACTTAAAGTGATATTAAAGGCAAAAAATGTTTACCCCCCCCCCCCCCACACGCGTCCATAGACTTACCTTGCGTCTCTGCTCGTCTCCCGGCCGAGAATCTGAACCGCGCATGCGCCCCGCCCCAAGATCCTTTGCGGCCGTACGAGCAGTTCCTGATTCTCGGCGCGGGAGCGAGCAGCGATAACGAGGTAAGTTTTAAATGATTTCAAGCGTTTTTGTTTTTTTTTACACTTCTTGCCTATATCTACTGCATGCTAGCAGTAGATATAAGCAAAAAAAAAAACGGAGGGTTTAGAACCCCTTTAAGATATAAAGAAAGACTTACCCATATAATTGTGAATGTTTTACAAACAAAAAACTTTCTTTCTCTGCTTGTTGTACATAAGCTCATTCAGGATCAGATGGTTCCTTTACTTTGAAGGTGCAGTTCCACTTTTGCAGCCAGATCGAGATAACATCTACTTTGTATTTGTCATATGTTCCTATTCACATTACATAATGCGAAAAAAACATGTAAAATAAATAATAATAAATCTAGAAAATAAAATAAAAATTGTTTCTAATACTTTCAAGTGCTTTATACTTGTTAAAAATCCGACCTAGCTCCCCTCTATGTAATGTTAAAGGAGAACTATGAGGTGGGTGATTTTCACTCAGCCTCATAGTTCGTGCCGACCTGTGACAATGAAACTGTCACACGTCGGCTCAATAGATCGGGAAGTGAGCAACGGAACGGACGGGGGAGGTGGCGGGTACAGCTGGCTCTGCCTCTAGATAGACGGAGCCAGCTGTCAATCACGCAGCTGGGTGGATCTCAACAGTAATGTCGGGATCCGTCCCGGCTGCGGCGGTCTCAGTATATCGCCAGCTGTAGCTCGCAATATACTGAGCTTTGGGTCACTGGAGAACGCTAGTTTGTGTCCTTCCGTGACCCTGAGGAGAACTATGGGGAAAAACACTGACCCCATAGTTCTCCTTTAAAGCAAATGCATTTTAACAAGCAACGTAATGGATGTCTGAGCATGCTTACATTCATGCAACACAGAGAAGTGAATAGGTGTAAATATCTTTCTCTTAGCTCGGGTTATTGTATTGAGGAACGCTAATCTTCATATTGCAGATGGGAAGCAATTAGGCAAAGCATGCCTGTGTAAAGCATCAGATGGGCTCCAAACACTGTTATGAAGAAATAGTATCTGAGGAAAGGATGCTGCACAACCAAATGGCAATTGCACACAATGGATTTATTTTCTGATGCAAAGGTTCACATGTTGCACATTGACATATATTAAGTCTGAGCTTTGGGTGACGGGAGGACGCTAGTTTGTGTCCTCCCGTTACCCTTGGGAGAAATATGGGGAAAAACACTGACCCCATAGTTCTCCTTTAAAGCTGATCTTTACCCCCTTTGACTAAAAATCACACCAGCACACAGCTCTGCATGTTGATATGAAATCCTCTTCCATTCATTAGCTAAACAAACATATTTTTATTTTACTTACAATTCTTTTTTTTGGTCCACAAATTATGTAAACGTGCCCCAAGCATTGCATCCTGGGAAGGTTACATCAGCAGAGCATTGCTGAGAAATCTCTTCTATAATCTCATGAGATCTCAGGGAAAGGCATTTTACTGCCCTGAGATGATGTGCATTATTATTATTATTATACAGGATTTATATAGCTCCAATAGTATGCACAGTGCTTTACAATATAAGGGAGACATTACAGTCACAATACAATTTAAGACAAGATGGTAAGGAGGGCCCTGCCCCTGAGGGATTACAATCTAAAAGGGAGGGGGAAGTGATACATGAGGAGGTAGCTGCGCGGGGATGATTGTTTGAGAAAGTGATTGTTCAGTGGTTAGGGTGAGGTGGCATAGGCTTCCCTGAAGAGATGAGTCTTAAGGTATCGCCTTAAGTCACATGTCCTAGTAGTCATATGTGCCAGAGTTCCAGGAAGTAAAGGGAGATGTATTCATCTGCCCTTAGTTATAATGGCCGCTGTGAGAAGAATGAGCAGGAAAAGAAAAATAAGGTATCCAAAGGATAAAAAGCCGGCAATTATCTAGAAGTATGTGTTTGTAGATTGTCATTACTAAACATTTATAAAGGTGTGTTTGTTGTCATTTCACAATACGGGTAAAGTTCCCCTTTAAGGTGGGGGCTGTGTAAAGTTTTTTTATGTAGTCATTTTTATAATGAACCCGGTCTGTACTGTGCTGGCAGATTTCATTATCAGTTGTAAACTAGATTTGATCCTACACATGTGATCAGCCATGGCACCAGCCACTTGAGGGCTTCAGAGTTTAGTTGAGAGCTGCACATGTAGTCAGCTTTGGTACCAGCCACTTGAGGGCTTCAGAGTTTGGTTGAGAGCTGCACATGTAGTCAGCTATGGCACCAGCCACTTGAGGGCTTCAGAGTTTGATTGAGAGCTGCACATGTAGTCAGCTATGGCACCAGCCACTTGAGGGCTTCAGAGTTTGCTTGAGAGCTGCACATGTAGTCAGCTATGACACCAGCCACTTGAGGCCTTTAATGTTCGGTTGAGAGCTGAAATAAGTACACTGGCAACTGTGACCATTATCACCAGAGCCATGACTTGAATGTCACTGTTTGGGAAACAGTAAAATCAGTGGGTTTAGTGCCAGTTTAAATTTACTTGGTAGCTTAACAGAATTTCTCAGGATCAACGTTAGAGACACTATGCACAATTACTCTTAAAACTTAATACAAACTTCTTTGAACAGTACTAGATAGAAAATAAAGGGGTCTGAGGACACAGCCTTTTGGAACCCTATGGAAAGAGGACCAGGAGAGGAGGAGATAAAGTTGTAGGCGACACTGAAGGAGTGCTTAGATAGGTTAAAGGGGAACCAGGATAAAGCAGAGTCTTGGAGGCCAGGAGAGTGGAGTAAAAGGTCAAATGTATCAGAGGCAGCAGGTAGGTCTAATATCATTAGTATGGAGTAGCTGCATTTGGATTTAGCTGTAAGTTGTTAGTGAGTGTTAGTAGTAGGGATATTCAGATACCAAGTACAGTACTCGGTACATGTACAGATACTTTTCCAGCTCCAAGACTACACTAGAGAAAAATCCAAAAGTTAGGAGGCCGCTGTCATTTGTAAGGAGCACACGGAGCTCCTGGGATTTGTACATCTCTGTTTTATTGTATGATTTTGTTTTTATAAATATAAATAAAGGGATGCACAGATACCAGTTTTGCGAGTATGAGTACTGGTACTTGCCGAGTACTTACAAGTATGAGTATCTGATACATTTTTGTTTATTGTCATGTGACAGTTTTTCTAAAACAATACAGACTAATGTTTTCAGGACAGTGGTGGAGCACCAGAGCCGGGTCCCAGGTGCAACCGCTGCAACCCTGGGAGTTCTCGTGAATATGCCAAGTATCGGCACTGGTATCTGGACATCCCTAGTTAGTAGTTCAGTTTCTGTAAAGTATTGCGGGTGTAAGCCAGACTGTACCACGTTGCTGTTCTGGTGACTACTCAAATTTTTGGCATTACCCTCACTTCCATTCCTAGTGACACTGGTCATCAGGACAATTAGAGAAGGTGAATCTCCCTAATAAGGACACAGAAGGCAAAGAAAAAATAATTCCTGCCAGATATTCTAGACCAGCAGTCGCTAACTGGTGGTCCGCGAGAAAATGTTGGTGGTCCCCGGGCCCCTCTGATGCCGTGCAGGCTGGGTCGTCATTGAAGCGGCACGGAGGTTCCGGGGCTGCCTCTCACTGACCCAAGCAGCGGCAGTCACAAGGAGTGTGTAGCTCTCAGTACAGTGCGGGCTCTGCAGGAGGCGGGGCATCTCATCAGTACCTGGACTGAGCAGGCTGCGGGACATAGAAAAAGTGGGAAAACGCCAGGTAATATTGGCTCAGTGCGGGGGAAGGGGAGGCACGGGGTGGTTGGGGCAGTGCTGAAGCTAGGGGGGGGGGGGCATGTGTTCCAGGCGCCGTTGGCAGGGCCAGTTGCAGATTCGATAGGGGGAAACAATTAATATTATTACTGGACTGGGACGGGCGGCACCGCTCCCTCTCTCCACCAGCACTGCCACTCCTGCAGGCACACCCGCACCTATGTATGTATATTTTAAAAAAAATCATATTAGTGGTCCGTGGGATTTAAAATTATGAATGTAGTGGTCCATGAGGTCCGAAAAGGTTGGCGACCGCTGTTCTGGACCTTCACCAGTCAATCAAAAACTATTAAGTATGAAATATTCCATATGAATAGTGTAGCCATTCACCAACCCAGCAGGGGAGCTCTTGCACCCTTCCATTTGGATTCCTCTGTCTTTGCTGCTTTGTTCTATTTGGCCTTTTTACACAGTTTAAGATAACTTTTATAAACACAAATGAAAGGGACGTCATGGGGGTAACATATCCCTTATATGATAGCTGTGCCTGAGGTTTCAGTCAAGGTGAGCTCAGAGACGTACTTTACAGTCAACGCTTCAATATGGATTTCAATCATATACTCACATGAAAATATACTTTCCTTTTATTTTGCTAAATATAAACTGATATTCTTCACCCCGAAGAACTGCGCGTCAGAACTAACAACCACAGTTTCAGGAAATGAGTTTATCTTCTTATTCTCCTCCTTCTTCTTCTTCTTATTCAGTCTGTGCAATGCAAAACATATAGAACCGTTCCATCCTCTCTGTCTTCCAACATGAAGGTGATCCAGGTCCTCCTGACATTGCTCTTCATCCAAGGTGAGTCTTACTGGCCTCTCCCTTCATACAGCATGCATACAGTAGGCTTGTTCTTGAGGTGAAGGTGGGGCTATTATACACTAATTTGGGTGGGGCATTTTATCATTTTTGATGGGAGCTGAGCAATATCCGAAGGTGAATGAGAGATTAATAGAAAATATCAGCGTGTAGAACCAAGGAAGGCAGCAAAACACATAAATATATTATTCAAGCTTCTCTTTAGAGGAAAAGATCTATTGGCAGTAAGAAGGAGAGAAGTAAATCATGACAGTGGGGAGAATAGACAGTAAAGCTGCCCATACACCTTACAAATATCGGCCGAATTTTGTTTGCCATCGCGTTTTCGTCTGATATTCGTAAGGTTGATGGGCAGTGTACAACCGCAAATACTGTACAATCGTACGACTTTTGACTAGGGATGCACCGATACCAGTGCCAATACTTGGCATTTTCATGAGAACTCCCAGGGTTGCAGAGGTTGCAGCTGGGACCTGGCTCTGGCGCTCCACCACTGTCCTGAAATCATTAGTCTGTATTGTTTTAGAAAAACTGTCACATGACTATAAACAAAAATGTAACAGTACTTGTATCTGTGAGGACTTGGATTGGTATCAGTACTTGTACTTGCAAAAATGGTATCGGTACATCCCTAATATATATTATAAAAACAAGATCATACATTAAAACAGAGATGTACAAATCCCGGGAGCTCCGTGTGCTCCTTACGCATAACAGCTGCCTCCTAACTTTTGAATGTTTCTCTAGTCTGGTCTTGGAGCTCCAAAAGTATCTGTACATGTATTTGTACCGAGCACGGTACTTGGTATCGGTGCATCCCTACTTTTGACTGTCCAGCAGGTTTGAAAACTTTAGTCGATCGGTTGGTGGCAAAGGTTGGTGGCGTTTCCGTACGTCAAAATTTGTACGATTAACACTGCTCATGCGCAAACGAAAATACGTGCGGTCAATTACCGCAATTCGTCCAAGTGGTTTTCTTTTAACTACCACTGATTGAACCTTGCGATAATCGGGGCAGGATGGGACCGCTGTACGAAAATTCGGTCACCGGACGAAAAAAGCCATCTGATTGATCGCAAGGTGTATGGGCAGCTTAAGAAAGATTAGGGGTAAGATAAGGGTATTGCATCCTGTAATTGTTGGTATACTGCTGACCAAAAAGAATAGACTATATGTGAGAAAGATCGGAAAAGAAGGGTCTTGTCAATGTTCATGTGACCATTGCACGACCCTCATTATAGGTAAAACTAACCCCTATGATTGGGTTGCAGAATCAGTAGGTCAGTAATATTTGCTGCAAATTCTCCCACAGAGATACAAATTCTGTACATATTTATTGTGTTGCCATGAAGAAAGCAGAAGGTCATTTTTATTTTGAAAATGTTTCTTTTGCATGTTAGACATTTTAACACTACTAGTTTTGAAACCCACACCGCTAAAAATAAAAAAAGTGTCATTTCTGTGTTTTGTTTCTCCAGATAGAGAGATTACATAGAAAAAGACTTTTTGCAAAGCAATATTGCTAAAAGAAAGCCTATTTTGTCCCCCCAAAATGCATATATTACTATATGATACAATATTTTCAGTCTTATCTTACAATAAGATATTATATCTTGTATACAAAAAATAGAGAGAAACAGGGCTTTAAAAGTGTCCAAACCATACGAAATGTCCACCAAACATACACAATTTTGTATACACAACAAATGTATTAATACAATAAGATAAACATAATTTTAAAAAACTTGGTAACATTTGCAATGTCATTGGCATGATACAATGGTACATTAAAATCAAGCTACCTCCTTTTGGTACCCACACGTGCGTAATTATATTTTCCATACTCATAAATCATAGACTCCTAAATAGTCCTAAACCATATATTAATGGTATAATCCACTGTGGGCCCAGTCTTCGACGCATTTCGCAACTGTGTGTGCTTCATCAGGAAGGTAGGAAGTATTCTAAAACATTGTATCAAAATAGGTATAAGTATAATAATCTCCAAAAATCAATATTCTTAATGATAATAGCAATCAATAATAATACAAAACCCACTTCATGCTCACAAAGATGGCTGGATCCTTAGTCTCACACACTATCTCGCAATCACCAAACAGGTGAGCCGGTGGGAGGTACCCGGGGACAAGCAGGACTGAGAAGATGAAAGAGTGGTCATAAATTCCAAAAATTCAAAAAGATTATTCAAAAGTAGATTTCTGCCAAAAATACAGATATATAGAATATCTAGGTTACTGCAAGCTGCTATTGGTCCGTTTATACTGACAGAAGATGACTGGATCCCATAAAATATGTCTTATTGCAAGACATAACCAATATTATATAATGGCTTCAGGTAAATATACTCAGAGCCTTGAGGAGCACCTCCAAATTGGTCGCTCACACCAAAAAATTAGTTAAAGGAGAACTATGGGGTTAGGGCTTTTCCCCATAGTTCTCCTTAGGGTAACGGGAGGACACAAACTGGCGTCCTCCCGTCACCCTAAGCTCAGTATATAGAGAGCTACAGCTTGCGGTATACTGAGACGCTGCAGCCGGAGCAGATCACGTCTTAAATGACGGGATCTGCCCAGCTGCGTGAGTGACAGCTGGCTCTGCCTATCTAGAGGCAGAGCCAGCTGTACCTGCCCCCTCCCCCGTCCGTACTGCCAGTCAGCGCTGGCGGATCAGAGTGGGGAGGGGGAATCCAGCCCCCCCCCCATGTCACGACAGAGAGCTGTGACAGGATCGAGAAGTGAGCGAGCGCCGGTATGTGTTCGCTCACTTCCCGATCTGCTGAGCCGACCTGTGACAGTCTCATTGTTACAGGTCGGCTAGAACTATGAGGTGAGTGAAAAGCACCTGCTTCATAGTTCTCCTTTCAAGGTATATGTAACCTTACATAAACATGCAAATAATTAGTCAATGAACAAACCCCTTTTGGGATGTAACTGACACAGATTGTAGTTGGACCTATGATCTTCCAAAATTAAATCATATATAATATTCTTGTCATTATACAAAGACTGAATATTTTCAAGCGATGGTAACCCATGGTGAAGTGTTAGACATTTTAACACTACTAGTTTCGAAAACCCACACCGGTAAAAATAGAAAAAGTGTCATTTCTCTTTTTTGTTTCTCCAAATAGAGAGATTACATAGAAAAATACTTTTTGCAAAGCAATACTGCTAAGGCCGGGTTCACACCTGGGCGTTTTTCTGTGGTGATTCGAAGCGCTGAAAAACGCTCAGCAAGTGAAATCCCATTACTTCCTATGGGCATGGTTCCCACCTGGGCGTATTTCAGCGCGTCGAAACGCGCTGAAAAACGCCCTACGCCCAAACAAGTACAGGAGCTTCTTTTGGGGCGTATTTCCCTGCGTGTCCATTAGGATACAGCCGGATAGATCTCGTTTGACGCGCATTTCGTGGACCGCAAATCGCGGTAAAAACGCGCGGTCTGAAACACGCGTCATACGCGCATATTACGAATGCCCAGGTGGGAACCCAGCCTAAAAGAAAGCCTAGCTTGTCCCCCCCAAACATGCATGTATTACAATAAGATACAATATCTTAAAAGGAGAACTATGAGGTGAGTGCTTTTCACTCACCTCATAGTTCTAGCCGACCTGTGACAATGAGACTGTCACAGGTCGGCTCAGTAGATCGGGAGGTGAGGGAACACATAGCGGCGTTCACTCACTTCTCGATCCTGTCACTGCAGAGAGCCGTGACGTGAGTGGCTGGATTCCCCCCTCCCTGCTCCGATCCTCCAGCGCTGACTGGCGGAACGGACGGTGGAGGGGGCGGGTACAGCTGGCTCTGCCTCTAGATAGGCAGAACCAGCTGTCACTCACGCAACTGGGCGGATCCCGGCACAATTGTCGGGATCCGCTTCAGCTGCGGCGTCTCAGTATACCACGAGCTGTAGCTTGCGGTATACTGAGCTTAGGGTGACGGGAGGACGCTAGTTTGTGTCCTCCTGTGACCCTAAGGAGAACTATGGGGAAAAGCCCTAATCCCATAGTTCTCCTTTAAAGTGTATGTACAGTCTTATTGCTCCCTTTTAGTTTGTTGAATACACCATTGAAAACATTTTGTCATATCTGTTTAATAAGTGCAAAAAACATCTGTTGGTCCCCCTAGAAATCCAGTGCTCTGCACTGTCTGAGTTTTTGGGTGACAGAAGGACTTTAGTAAATGTCCTCCTCTGACCCTAAAGAGAACTACGGCCAAAGAAGGTTGAGCCATAGCTCTCTTTTAAGGACTATTGGAATTTGTTCTCTAGTGCTTGCAGCTGATGCAGTATTGGTGCGAATGTTTTTTGGGGTTTGTGGTATGCTGCAATATATTACATTTGCCTTCTTTAGATACACTTTTCGTTTCAGACTTCATATATGTCAATGTGCAACCTGTGAACCTTTCCAACGGAAAATAAATCCATTGTGTGCAATTGCCATTTGGTTGTGCACAGGGGCGTCCCGAGGCTGGGTGACACCCGGAGCGGTTACCGGGTGTCACCCTGCCGTGACGTCACCGTGAATACACGTGAAGTTATCGCGCATGTGCGTCAGTCTTCTTCATACCTGCCATTTTGGTGATGGACGCCGGCAGAGAGAGGAGGGGACAGTCACCCGGCGGGATAAGGTATGCCGCTGGGTCCCCTCCATTCCCCTGATACTGTCGGGCGCTCGGTCCATGACCGAGTGCCCAACTTCTCAGAGGGGGATGACACCAAAATGACTGTCAGCCATTTTGGTGTCACCCCTCCAATGGTGCCACCCGGGTGCGGGCCACACCCTCCTTGTGATGCCGCTAGTTGTGCAGCATCCTTTCCTCAGATACTATTTCTTCATAACAGTGTTTGGAGCCCATCTGATGCTTTACACAGGCATGCTTTGCCTAATTGCTTCCCATCTGCAATATGAAGGTCATCGTTCCTCGAGTTCGATAACCGGAGCTAAGAGAAAGTTATTTACACCTATTCACTTCTCTGTGTTGCATTAAAGGAGAACTATGAGGTGAGTGCTTTTCACTCACCTCATAGTTCTAGCCGACCTGTGACAATGAGACTGTAGAGTAGATCGGGAGGTGAGCGAACACATACCGGCGTTCGCTCACCTCTTGATCCTGTCACGGCTCTCTGCCGTGACAGGGGAGGGGCTGGATTCCCCTCTCCCCGCTCCGATCTGCCAGCGGATCGGACGGGGGAGAGGGCGGGTACAGCTAGCGCTGCCTCTAGATAGGCAGAGCCAGCTGTCAGTCACGCAGCTGGGTGGATCCCGGCACAATTGTCGGGATCCGCTTTAGCTGCGGCGTCTCAGTATACCGCGAGCTGTAACTCGCGGTATACTGAGCTTAGGGTAACGGGAGGACGCTAGTTTGTGTCCTCCCGTTACCCTAAGGAGAACTATGGGGAAAATACTTAACCCCATAGTTCTCCTTTAATGTAAGCATGTTCAGACATGCATTACGTTGCTTGTTAAAATGCATTTGCTTTTGTAGCGCTCACCCCCGAAGGAGCCGCTGAATGATGAAATAGGTTCTCCTACCTGTTGGTTCCAGCTACCGGTCCCCTTTGATCAGCAACAGCACACCGACTCTCATGGACAGAATGGCTCGAGTCTTAGGGTTCCTTTTAAGGTTATTTATTTGCAAGTTCAATAGAAGAGAGAGGGTTTAGGGTCTGTAGGATGCCCTTGGAAATACTTCGGAGGACATCTTTCTCCCTTAGCAACAGCTAAGGCTGAAATCACTGTGATCTGGTCCCAGAGACCAATAGTAGTAACAATGCTGCGAACAGATACCTGGAATAGTGAGGGATCTCCCTTGTGGGTCCCAGACGGACGCTCGCACCAGCTCCTCTGCGGTACCCTTCAACAAGCAGACTCTCCCTCCAACCCAGCTTCCATCAGGTATTTTCCTCTTCAGGATCTGGAATATCTGTGCCCTCAGCATCTGCAACTGCCAAGGAGCACTCCAGTTTAGTAGTAGTATCGTCCTAAAACAAGGCACCCATCACCTGCCACGTGTATGGGCCCAGCAAAGTATCAGTGTATCCTTAGGCCTCCAGGCCCCTCAGCACCTGCCATGTGCTGAGGCCCAGGCCAGTTTGCTGCATCTCCACAGACCTCCTAGGGCGAGGCCCCTAGGTGGAAGAGAACTCTGCACAGTGTCCCCAGACCTTTTATTACCTGCCTTCAACCATGCCTCTGAGTCATCCTACTCAGGGATTGGCTAGGGTCGGGTGCATAGTCATAACCTGAGGATGGATCCTCCCTCACTGTATGCCAAGGCTCCCTTTTCCTCCACAACAGGAGGAGCAATCGATCCAGCAAATTCAGGGACACCTATAGAATGCAGAGCTCTGTATAATCAGTATCTAGACTGGTTACAGTCCAGGTATCTCTAAATTGAATAGCGACATTTTAGAGGGCGCTACACTTTAATGTATCCCATTCATTTTGAATGGGATGCTGATGCATCACAATGGACATAAAAATACACTCACTCCTCTTTATTAGGTACACCTTGCTAGTACTGGGTTGGACCCCCTTTTGTGTTCACAACTGCCTTAATTATTCATGGCATAGATTCAACAAAGTGCTGGAAACATTCCTTATAGAGTTTGGTCCATATTGACACAATAGCATCACACAGTTGCTGCAGATTCGTTGGCTGCACATCCATGACACGTTCCACCACATCCCAAAGGTGCTCGATTGCATTGAGATCTGGTGACTGTGGAGGCCATTTGAGTACAGAGAACTGATTATCATGTTCAAAAAACAGTTTGAGATGATTTTGGATTTGTGACGTGGCGTGGTTTCCTGTCAGCAGTAGCCACCAGAAGATGGGTGGACTGTGGTCATAAAGGGATGGACATGGTCTACAACAATACTCAGGTAGGCCGTGGCATTTAAATGATGCTCTATTGCTACTAAGGGACCCAAAGTGTCCCAAGAAAATATTCCCTACACCATTACACCACCAGCCTAAACCTCTGATACAAGGCAGGATGGATGCATGCTTTCATGTTGTTTAAGCCAAACTCTGACCCGACCATCCGAATGTCCCAGCAGAAATTGGGACTCATCACACCAGCCAACGTTTTTTCCAATCTTCTATAGTCCAGTTTTGGTGAGCCTTTGCACATTGTAGCCTCCGTTTCCTGTTCTTAGCTGACCGGAGTGGCACTCGGTGTGGTCTTCTGCTGCTGTAGTCTGCTACAACTGGACTTGTTATCTGTTCAGAGATGCCCTTCTCTTCTGCATACCTCAGATGTAACGAGTGGTTATGTGAGTTACTGTTGCCTTTCTATCAGCTTGAACCAGTCTGCCCATTCTCCCCTGACCTCTGGCACCAACAAGACATTTTTGCCAAGAGAAGTGCCACTCACTGGATATTTTACCATTCTCTGTAACCCCGAGAGATGGTTGTGGGTGAAAATCCCAGTAGATCAGCAGTTTCTAAAATACTCAGACCAGCCCGTCTGGCAGCAACAACCATGCCACGTTCAAAGTCACTTAAATCATCTTTCTTCCCCTTTATGATGCTCGGTTTGAACTTCAGTAGACCATCTTGACCATGTCTACATGCTTACATGCATTAAGTTGCTGCTACGTGATTGGCTGATTAGATCTTTGCATTAATGAATAGTTGAAGAGGTGTACCTAATAAAGTGGCTAGTGAGTGTATATTTGCACCTTTTTACTCTGACACAGCGCATGAAAGTAGTGCATTGCCTTGTGCTTTGGTTTGCTGCAACGCAGGTTCCTTATGGAAGTGGATTGAAGCACTTTTCAAAGTGAATGGCACCACACTACACAAACACACATAAGTTTCCTAGCCATGTGCTATGGTAATGTGCTCATGAACATTCCCATGTGCGATTCCAGCATCAGGACCTGTGTTGGTGGCCTGTGGGCTTTCATTGATGGCAGCGGGAAGGCCTCATTCACACGAGAAAAAGCCAGCACGTACAGCTCCATGCTGCGTGAACGGCCGTATTGGCTAGCTCCTGGGAAGGATAAGTGCTGCGCGTGATTGGTACGCAGCCCCTGTTCTTCTCTATGGGAGTACGCGGCCATACGCCGCCCTATGTTCACCCGCCCTGCACGTCCGTGCGGGTGTCCGTACTCGTATGGATGGATCCTGTCTGAGTCAGGAGAACCGCACCCGTACGGACCTGCACTTGGGGTGAGCGTAGGGTGGCGCGTGGCCGCGTACTCCCATAGAGAAGGACAGGGGCTGCGTACTAATCACACGCAGCACCTGTCCTTCCTGGGAGCTGCTCGCACGCAGCACAGAGCTGTACCTGCCGGCCTTTTCTCGTGTGAATGAGGTCTAAGAGATACTGCTGAGATCATTGAAAATTAATTGACGGTTGCATTTGACCTGCAGTTCACATTCTCACCTGATTCTGACCAGCTTCAAGTGAGTTTTAAATTAATTTACTCTCTTTTTCACGGCTAGGAGTACAAAGCAGGCACGTGCGGTCAGGGGAGGCAGGTGAGGCAGAGCCTCACCTAGTATTATGGAGGAAAAAGCTGTCAGCTTCAAGTCTGAAGCTGGCAGCTTTTTCTCCATTCAGATCGGCTTCTAGCAGGTTACACAGCATGGAAATCCTCCCCGCCGTGTAACCTGTCATGGAAATCCTCCCCGCCGTGTAACCTGTCATGTACAGAGCGCTGCCTGTTAATTACAGGCGGCGCTGCATCCAGCTTTTGACTGGTAGTTAGGTTAGACAGCAGCGGGCTTCCCCACTACTTGTGTAACCTAACTATTGAAGCCAGAGCTGTCACAGCCTCTACTCGTTGTTAGAGACGTAAGCTCTGTGGATGGCTTGGATCAATGGCAAAGCGCCATTGGTCCAAGCTGTCCAATCAAAAAAAGAAAAAAAAAACACTGAGGCCATCGATCTCGATGCCTCAGCAGTGACAAGCAAGTGAGGGACAGGGAGGCTCCTCCCTGTCTCCTCCCTTCCTCCTCCCACCTTCACACTACCTTGGGGACCGGGTTGGGGCTTAGACGGGCTGGAAGCGGGGTCTCGGCGGGCTGGGGGCTGGGTGGGTCATGTTAAGGGCGAGGCTGGGGAATGCCTCACCCGGAACCAAAGGTACCAGCGCAAGTCACTGGTACAAAGATGTGCACGATTGTAAATGTGAGACCATATAATCACTTACAGCAACTCTGCACAACGTAAACTGATCTGAAATAAATGTATATAGATTGGTAACAAGGTGGAGACCCCCACCCAACAAAAATGTAACATTGTATTAATATATTGTTTATCAGTCTCCTCCTAGTTATAAGATTGACCGATATGCTCCAAACTAAATGAGCCAAAACTAACCTGATATATCCATTAAACTGCTAATCCTCTTCTCCTCACCTCTCCTCTCCTCCCCTGCCTGACATCAGTTATTTCCAGCCTACTGAAGTAAAATATATGAATACGGATTGTCCAGAAATGGTTATTTTTGATCAGAACTTCAGACTAAAGTCAAAATAATTAATTGAAAGAGATGACTATGAATATAAATATTTCTGTCAAGTGTAGTTTGCAAAATTGTTAATTATTACTTTAAATTTAAGAAGAAAATTGCATTAAAAAAATACAGAATAAATATGAATATGATTTGCTTCCCCTTAGGAGACGTCTACAGTGACAAGTCCTTCTGTACAGAGCAGCCTGACTCCATAAGGGTGGAAAAAGGAGGATCAGTGATCATCCCTTGTCACTTCTCTTATCCCAATAATATTACACCAACAGAGGTGAGAGTGTACTGGAGACGAGGCACAACAGGAGGCTATTGTGGAAACAATCCATTCATTTACAATCACACTGAGAACTGGACACATGGAAACTATACAGGACGGATCAGTATGGAGGGAAACCCTGAGAAGGTGAGAACAGCGACAATCAGAATCCAGAGACTGAAGGAAACAGATGGACCCATGTTCTGCTGTAGGATCTCACTACGTTATAATGGGGATAAAAAGGAAGAGTGGCAGAACCGGCATGGAACCCATATAAAGTTCAAAGGTAAAATTTGTAAATTAAATTTTTTTAAATATTTGCCACCCTGCAGGAGGAGGACAGACTCATAGCTCCCTTCTGTCTGAATGACCCTGCAGGAGGAGGACAGACTCATAGCCCCCTTCTGTCTGTGTCACCCTGCAGGAGGAGGATAGACTCACAGCTCCCTTCTGTCTGTATCATCCTGCAGGAGGAGGACAGACTCATAGCTCCCTGCTGTCTGTGTCACCCTGCAGGAGGACAGACTCATAGCTCCCTGCTGTCTGTGTCACCCTGCAGGAGGACAGACTCATAGCTCCCTGCTGTCTGTGTCACCCTGCAGGAGGACAGACTCATAGCTCCCTGCTGTCTGTGTCACCCTGCAGGAGGACAGACTCATAGCTCCCTGCTGTCTGTGTCACCCTGCAGGAGGACAGACTCATAGCTCCCTGCTGTCTGTGTCACCCTGCAGGAGGACAGACTCATAGCTCCCTGCTGTCTGTGTCACCCTGCAGGAGGACAGACTCATAGCTCCCTGCTGTCTGTGTCACCCTGCAGGAGGACAGACTCATAGCTCCCTGCTGTCTGTGTCACCCTGCAGGAGGACAGACTCATAGCTCCCTGCTGTCTGTGTCACCCTGCAGGAGGACAGACTCATAGCTCCCTGCTGTCTGTGTCACCCTGCAGGAGGACAGACTCATAGCTCCCTGCTGTCTGTGTCACCCTGCAGGAGGACAGACTCATAGCTCCCTGCTGTCTGTGTCACCCTGCAGGAGGACAGACTCATAGCTCCCTGCTGTCTGTGTCACCCTGCAGGAGGACAGACTCATAGCTCCCTGCTGTCTGTGTCACCCTGCAGGAGGACAGACTCATAGCTCCCTGCTGTCTGTGTCACCCTGCAGGAGGACAGACTCATAGCTCCCTGCTGTCTGTGTCACCCTGCAGGAGGACAGACTCATAGCTCCCTGCTGTCTGTGTCACCCTGCAGGAGGACAGACTCATAGCTCCCTGCTGTCTGTGTCACCCTGCAGGAGGACAGACTCATAGCTCCCTGCTGTCTGTGTCACCCTGCAGGAGGACAGACTCATAGCTCCCTGCTGTCTGTGTCACCCTGCAGGAGGACAGACTCATAGCTCCCTGCTGTCTGTGTCACCCTGCAGGAGGACAGACTCATAGCTCCCTGCTGTCTGTGTCACCCTGCAGGAGGACAGACTCATAGCTCCCTGCTGTCTGTGTCACCCTGCAGGAGGACAGACTCATAGCTCCCTGCTGTCTGTGTCACCCTGCAGGAGGACAGACTCATAGCTCCCTGCTGTCTGTGTCACCCTGCAGGAGGACAGACTCATAGCTCCCTGCTGTCTGTGTCACCCTGCAGGAGGACAGACTCATAGCTCCCTGCTGTCTGTGTCACCCTGCAGGAGGACAGACTCATAGCTCCCTGCTGTCTGTGTCACCCTGCAGGAGGACAGACTCATAGCTCCCTGCTGTCTGTGTCACCCTGCAGGAGGACAGACTCATAGCTCCCTGCTGTCTGTGTCACCCTGCAGGAGGACAGACTCATAGCTCCCTGCTGTCTGTGTCACCCTGCAGGAGGACAGACTCATAGCTCCCTGCTGTCTGTGTCACCCTGCAGGAGGACAGACTCATAGCTCCCTTCTGTCTGTATCACCCTGCAGGAGGAGGACAGACTCATATCGGAGGACAGACTCATTCCAGAGTTCCTCCTTAATGAATATCTTTTTTCCTTTCTGCAGACCAGTTCTCCGTAGAGCAGCCGGATGTTGTCCCTGCTGTGATGGGAGAAGATATCTCTATACCATGTGCTGTTCATTATAAGTCACCGGATTTTATAGAGGAGATTATCTGGAGGGTCGGGACAAGTGATGTGTGTTCTGAAAATCCTGAATTTTTAAGATGGAATATACAAAACATGACACACAAGGTTGGGCGATGGACGTTACAGAAATCTGAGAACATCTTCTCATTGCACATAAAGAGAGTTATAGATTTTGACAGTCGGCAATATTGCTGTGAGGTGATTACAAAGCTAAGAACAGAGAAACAATCATCGGCACACTGCACCCAGGTAGTGATAGCAGGTAATCACATTTTAGTTTTAAACATTGCAATGCCCACTGATTGTAGAAATCCAAGAGAACTTTCTGGGTGCTTTAACCCTTTCTCTGCCAGGTCCTGAGCTCCATGTTTGACCATTTTTGCAATTTTTCTATTACAACTTTCAGAGTTTATATAAAAGACCCCCAAACCAAATGTTTTCCGAAAGCACAGGGCCCTTATGCTAAAAAAATGGCACTACTTATTATGTAGGTCCCATAACCGTGTCACTAGGGGGGTGCAGACCTCTCCGGGTAACACCATTGGAGAGGGTGACTCCAAAATGTCTCACAGTCATTTCGGTGTCAACCCCTCAGAACAGTCAGGCACTCGGTCATGGACCAAGAGCCTGACAGTTGCATGGGAGAGGAGGGGAGCTGGCGGCATGCCATATCCCACTGGGTCAATGTCCCCTTCTCTCTCTGCCGGCGTCCATCACCACTATGGCCGCCTGCAGGTAACCGTGTGTGACGTCATCTTGCCTGTGCGCAATGACTATGAGTGTGCGTGATTATGTCTCACACATGTGCGATGGCATCATGGCGGGGTGTCACCTGATGGCCACTCCGGATGACACCACACTATTCTGACTCCGATTGTTGTGCTAGTGCTTATCCCTTGTTGAGACATCTATGCCTGGCCTGTATAAGCAGATTCAATCACTGAGGACATTCATTGTCAGATAGCTGAACTCACCAATACCGTTTCATCCACAAAGGTTGCTTTATTCTGTACATCAGACAACAGGATACAGCAGATGGATGGTTTTCAGTATTATGCGGCCAAAAGATGATGCCCTTGGGGCGTGTCCTGGACATGGCGGAGTGAGGCAGCACCTAACGAGAGCTCTGTGCTGTTTGCCCGGGACAGCTGAATAGCAGACGATCTAAGCGGACTTTACCCCACGTTAACGGTGGATCCCATGCTCGGTAAGGGTAGGGGACCCCGTCAGACGGATCTCTTGGACTTATTTGCGGAGCAGAAGCCACGACAAGGCCAGATCCCAACATGGCGACCACCCGCTCGGCGGCATCGTGTGTGACCCCGAACAAAAAACTCCCCAAGTCCCTCTCACTTTCGGCTCATACACTGACCCGCCAACCTAGCCCGCCGTCTTCGCCCATATGCACCCCTCTCCTACTGGATGAAGATTCACGTACGGGTCCCGAGATGTCCGGTGCGTGTGACGTGCCGGCAGGCGGTGATGACTGGAGGGCCTTCCTACCGCAACTATCCACCAAGCGGGACCTAGATGGTATGGCCACGAAGATCGTTGACGCCCTGCGGCTGGAACTCCAGGAGGTGAAACAGCACCTCTCCACCCTAGATAACCGAGTGGACTCGGTCGAGACGACGGCCGCATCTCTACAGGGTAGAATGGAGGCCATGGAAGCCGGTCAGGCCGCACACCAACAGCAACTCACGGCCCTATACCTGCAAGTTGATGACAGCGAAAATAGGAACCGCAGGAACAACTTGCGTCTCAAAGGCATCCGACAGGGGGCGGATTTAAAGTCTACACTGATAACTATCCTCAACCACTACCTTGACAAGCCTCCTGCCTCTGCGTTGGAATTAGACCGCGTGCACAGAGCTCAGGGGACTCGTTCTTTGCCATCTGGGATCCCGAGGGACGTCCTCTGTAGAGTTCATTTTTACGCTGTAAAGGAAGAAGTACTACGTCAAGCATGGAATAAGGGTCCTCTCGACTTCGATGGCTCCAGAGTCCAAATTATGCCGGATCTCTCCCGCCATACGCTTCGCATGCGCCGCACTATGAGACCAGTGCTGGATGTCGTCCGGGCCGCAAGAGACACTTATCGGTGGGGACATCCTTTTCATCTTATTGTGTCACGGGAGAACAGGGTGTTTCACCTACACGACCCAGCGCAACTACCAGACCTCTTTTCGTTTTTGGAGTCGGAGGCAGTCCCTGTTCCAAATTGGCTGGATTTCTCAACGGATCGCCCAGCACCAGGCCCGTCCACTCCACGGCCAGCCAGGCTATCGAGGCCCAGACAACGCTCTTATCTCTCCAGGGCACCCTGACCAGGAGCAGAGACTCCAGGGAGCCGTGAGTAGAGGTCCCCGTCGACCATCCCCGACCCCAAACTGATACATGGGGGTCCTCAGTCAAGACTGTGGAGCTATCCTTTTACCCACGTACTCACTGAGGTGTAGTGTGTTCCTCACGCACTAGATACAGGCCCTCCATGGCTATAGCTGTGGCCCATAAACACTTTGTCAGTATGGAGGGGTGGTGGAGTGGGGATGTGGTGCCCATCTGGTAACTACCGGCCTGACCGATTTCTGGTCCGGTCGTTCACCGAGCCATACCAAGGTTGAGTCCCGTGTCCGTGTGGGCCTAACGAATGTTTAGAAATGTTAAATGCTTTATACCTGGTTCGGTTTATATTTCCTTTGCTCTTTGCTTATATGTGGGCAGGGATACTCATGCCTCGTTTGGGCCGGACCCGAGCTCCGACGCCGGTCTGGGATGAAGTGAGCAGCCTGGGCCGTCATGGCCCTGTATGCAGGCTGCTGGGTAGCAGATATGTGTCACACCTATCCCAGATGGGTTGTGCGGACCTCTACCTACCCAAATTTTATGGGAATACTTGCTACCCGAAAAAAACATGTGAAGTGCTTATGTTATCCTCACTATTGGAGGGTATTTTTTTCTTTTCTCTTTTTCTGGCCATCCTGGTCTCACCCGGCACAACTCCGTTAATTATTCTATTGTTTATTTACTTCAGTTACATAGACCTGAGTTTTTGTACTAGTGTAATTGTGTTGCCTTACTGTTCTGCCAAAGGTCCTTCCCTATTGCCACCAAGGTGCTACTAGGTCCCCCAATAGGTTATCTCCCGCCCTTAGTAAGGGTGGGGGGTTCTTTAACTTTTAGTCAACCCGTAGTCGGGTCTGACAGGTGGTATCTTACATAGGCCCTGTATCTCCTAGTCCTTTAGGTCTCTCCTCCTCTTCCTCACTGGCTCCCAGCCATCCCCTGACCTTTCCTCCACTTTCCCCCCTGTCCCCGTTTCCTCCCCCGCCCTATCCTAGAGCCCTTACCTTTCCCTTGCCTACCTACCTCCCCCCCATCTCCTTATCTTACCCTCTTCTCTCTTTCTCTACCCAAACAGGCATGGCCAGACCGGGGGGCCCCGCCGCGAGTGGGGGAAGCGTCAAAGAGCTCAGATTCACATCGCTTAACGTTAGAGGTTTGAACATACCTGAGAGACGCTCCCGGCTCCTGGCTGACCTGAAGCGCTCTAGATCACAAGTAGTGTTCCTGCAGGAGACCCATTTCAAGACCCTGCAGGTTCCACGTCTCCATAACAGAGACTTCCCTGAGGCGTATCACTCCTCATCTCCCCTGGCAAAATCAAAAGGGGTTAGCATCCTGCTAGCCAGAACAGTGCCATGGAATCTTATAGATCTCCAGCGTGACCTGGAAGGGAGATTTACTTTTGCCAAGGGTCGAGTCGGGGAGACTGTCCTCACCCTGGCTAATGTGTATCGGACCAACTCGGACCAACTGACCTTCCTGAGACATGTTGTGTCCTCACTGCTTGAATTTTCTGAAGGGACCTTGATTTTGGAGGTTGATTTCAACTTTGCACAGGATCCTTTGCTTGATGTTTCCAGGGGGGCCTCGCACCTATCATACGCATACCTTAAAAAGCTGAAAGCTACATTGCAGGTGTTGCGCTTGGTGGACGCGTGGCGGTTCCTGCATCCCGGGGACAGAGACTACACTTATTTCTCTCAGGTACATCAGACGTACTCCAGAATAGATCTCTTCTTTGTAAACCACCAGGCCTTACCGTCCCTGCGCTCGGCATCCATGGAAAATATAGTTTTATCGGACCACGCCCCCGTTCATATGGAAATGGCCATACTACCGCCACGGTCCATAGTATCCTCCTGGCGTCTGAATTAATCCCTCATTCAGGACCCGATGATAAAAGCAGAAGTGGATAGTGCCCTCAGGGCATACTTCCTTACCAACTCTACATCGGTCCCTAGCCCTTCCGTGGTGTGGGAGGCACACAAGTGCGTGGTACGTGGGTATCCTTATACGGCACGGGGCGAGGCGTATGAGGGAAAGAGATGATGGGATAGCCCAACTGACAGACCAAATTCGTAGTCTGGAGACATGTCACAAGCAGTCCTTGGCACGGTCCTCCCAAATGGCCCTTCAGAAGGCAAGGGAGGACTTGAACTCCCTTCTTTACCAACGCACTAAACAACGCCTGGTGACGTGTAAACGCACCTTTTACGAATTCTCCAACAAACCGGGTAGACTCTTAGCAAGGGCGTTGGGGGGACCGCGATCCAAACTGTACATCCCGCACATTACCTCTCGACAGGGCACTAAACTATCACTATCGGATGACATAGCCTCTGCATTCAAGGACTTTTACGCTCACCTTTACAACCTAAACCAGGCTCAGCCTCATCAGGAAGTGCAGACACGTAGACTGCTCATAGAGGAGTACCTAAAACGGTCTGGGATGCTAACTTTGCCCCAACAGGTCAGGGATCTCTTTGAAACCCCTCTAACAGTGGAGGAATGGGATCTGGCTATTAAACAGTCCAAACCACGGAGGGCCCCGGGCCCGGACGGGTTCACCCTGTTGTATTACCGGTCCTTTGGGCATCTTCTGTCGCCGCATTTTTTGGAGGCCATCAACGCCCTCACATCGGGGGCTGCCCTGCCGGCAGACGCGTTACGCGCACACATCACGGTGATCCCGAAGCCGGGCAAGGATCCCTCTCTATGTGGCAGTTACCGGCCAATAGCGCTGCTGAACACGGATCTTAAATTATATGCCAAGATGTTAGCAAATAGGCTCTTGCCCTTCGTCCCGGACCTTGTCCACTTTGACCAGGTGGGTTTTGTGCCGGCTCGGGAGGCGCGGGACCACACTGCCAGGGTCCTGAATGTCATCCAGGCAGCAAGGCATCGCCCTTGCCCCCT